TAGTAAGTTTTACGTTAAAAACAAAATTGGTTTAGAAAAGTGTTTCTTCTGCCTGAAATAGTTTTTTTTATTGTTCAATTACATTATTTGTCTGCTTTAATTATTGTATCATAATCATTAAAATACCAGAATTTGCACAGAACTAATTTGTTCTGTCTTTATTACGCAATTTAAAATATCAGATGTTAGGATGAGTTACTTTTTACTCTTGCTTGAGTAAAATTATGATCAAGTAGTGCTGCTCCTAGTGCTGCTCTTGCTTGCGTACATGTTACTGGTACTCTGGTCACCTCTGAACATAAGCATGCTACGCTAAGAACCGTGAGCTTACTCAGATTCCCGTTATTTGGCCATACAACACAGAGAAGGACAGAATTGTTGATGCCTGCAGAAAAGGAATTGGATGCAATGAATTTATTTAGGTGGGGCAGTGGAAGGGCGTACAAAGGGAACACTTTTAAGATTTTTGTCAAAGAATTATCCATGCGCATTTGTTTCTTCATCCACTTCAGTGATGCAATACTCCGTGGCCATTGAGTAGATAGTGTAAGCAAATCGTTAACATGAAAAAACACAAAACATTTTAGAGGATGCCGGTATGTTTGCATGATATTTTACTTGAGGTGACAGGCTGTTATAATGTAAAATCACAGTTATCCATTTAAAGGACAACTGCCTTCTGCAACCTCCCTCCAGCTTCATGTACACTTAAAGGAAACACTGCTTTCTTGTGGCCAAAAATATTAAACCATTTTCAGTCTTAGGAGGCTCAATGGTGATGCAACAAATCCACAAATAATTTGAATTTCTAACTAAAAACAAAGTTTTTCATTACATTTTGTCGACCATTGGAATAACAGGCACCATCTACTGCCCTGCTCAGTGCTCAGTGACTGTTAATAATAATTAATAATAATTTCTAAACACATTATAAAGATTTCAGAGACACTTGTTGTAGAGACTTGATATTTTGAGTGTAATTCAATTTTCAGTTTATTTACATAACGTCACAACACATGTAATCTAAAAGCACTTTACAATTCAATCAGATCGTAAAGACAAATCGATAGAGTGACCGATATGGTGATTTCAATTATTCCATGGACGACAGAGACAGACAGGAGTGTAGGAGTTACTGACCTTTTGAGTGTTTTTAATGCAGTATGTAAGTTTACTTGTGTTCTAACATAAAAATTAAGTTAATTAGTAAGACCGGTTTTATGCTGCAAAGGAAGACTATGAAAATCGTTAGACATGGAAGCCGTCTCGGGTTCCTGGCTGTGTGTTTCCTGGATGGGGCCGCCTGTGGAGCTGGTTGACAGTTACCTTTTGTATGTCTGGTTCTTTTTCTATGTCTGCTTCTGTCTCCTTGAACCCCAGTCGGCCTCAGCAGATGGCTGCTCACACTGAACCTGGTTCTGCTAGAAGTTTCTTCCTGTTAAAAGGGAGTTTTTCCTCTCCAATGTGGCTACAAGCATGCTTAGTGTGAGGGATTTCCTTTCGAGTCAATGAGTCGATGGAATCAACTGGTTTTCCTTAGATAGAAAACTTTGAATCAATCTGACTGGATGATCTGGTGAACTATAAAGTGCCTTGAGATCAATTCAATTCAGTTTATTTATATAGCGCCAATTTACAACACAAGTCTTCTCAAGACACTTTACAGTTCAAAGTAAATTGATTCAAAGTTTTCTATCTAAGGAAAACCAGTTGATTGCATTGACTCAAAGGCAATCCCTGTGATGTGAGATGAGATGATGTGTTGTGAATGGGCGCTATAGACATAAACTGAATTGAAATTGAATTGATGTAAACCTGACTCAGGTTAACATGGCTTTCTGAAACTGAAAATCCAGGGTATGCAGGGATTAACAAATAAAATTATTCTATTCCCACTTATCCTGTCTGAAACAGGCCCCTGTGTGTCTCTTTCGATTTACTTAATTACAAGATGAAATTGTGCCAGAAAGTGTGTATGTCTGAGTTTACGAAGCTGCCATGTCTTTATAGGTTTTCAGTTTTTATTTTTTTATATTTGGGGTTTGCTACAACATAAAACCAAACTTCCTCCTCTGTCTGGTTCTGATGGACGTTTCTTCCTCTTAAAAGGGAGTTTTTCCTCTCCACTGTCACTACAAGCATGCTTAGTGTGAGGGATTGCCTTTGAGATAATGAGTCTATGGAATCAACTGGTTTTCCTTTGAATCAATTTTACAGTATGATCTGGTGAACCGTAAAGTGTCTTATGATGACATGTGTTGTGAAGTAGGGCTACATAAATATTCTGAATTGAATTTCTAATGCCTTTTAGAAAAATGTTCCTTGGTTTAATTCTTTGCCTGTATTAGCATTTTCTTCCCCTTAATTTTGGGATAAAATATATAATGAAATATTAACAGGTGTGTGAGTGTATCTCAAACTTCCAAAAGTGTGAATAACAAAGATCAAGCAAGAAAAAGATTTTCCAACCAAATATGTTTTATTAGAAATAAAAGAAAATTATATGTCATTGATTTATAATTTTATAACTGTTAGTGATTATTAAAAAAGAATAAGTTATAAAAATGTTTAAAAAAAAACAGCGCAGATCCCATTTAATTCAATCAATAACTTTTATATCTTAATTTGTTTAAAGAACAGTTTAATAAAGATAGGTGTAAACTTGTGTTTTCATAGAACATTTCTGTAATTCAACAAAAAACTGAATAGTTATCTTATTGAAAAAAATCCCAAAGAGAGATCTATGTATTTCCCTTTAACAGCTCAGACCAGAATTAATCACACCTATTGCTAAGTTCGGTTTTTAATCTTTTTCTTTCAATCACAGACATCTTTTGGACTCCAAGCCAGCATTATGTCAAAAAATTCTGTAGATGGCGCTTAATATTAGGATAAGGCAATCTAAAAGACCTCGGGCTCATTGCCTCATATACACAGTGGGAAAATGGTTATGTCTGGTGTAGTGCGAGTTAATATTTTTCAAGATTAATAAAAAAAAATGTGTATGTTTTTTTGTAAAAAATAATTGGTAAGGACTTTAATGTTCACATGGGTCACTAACTTACCCTTGTTTGGGTAATTTTAGAGACCGTAATTTGTGGAATATAAGACAGATTTAGGAGACTTTTGACTACATGTTTGAAGATGTAAAACTGCCTGGGCAAAAGAGTCAAGGCTGGGCATCATGTACTTCATGGGTTAAACCAGACACCTTCTCTGCAGACGTAGGGGTGTTTTAAGAATATACTGTATTTTTTTGACCTTTTATAGGTGAACACCTGGGATAAGTCTGTTTTAGACTTTAGGATTTGGGGCATGATGAAAGAGAGAGATAGAAGTCTTAACATTAGCCTACATCCACACATAAATGGTCATCAGTTTTAGAACATTTCTCTGTAATCACAAAGCTAGATCAAATAATCTTCAACTCCAAACAAATATACTCAATATGTCTGAAGATTCTGAAAATATGCTCGATCAGCTAGGAAGGGAAGCATGCACACAACACTGTATGGCGCTATAGTTGTTATTTTCTGAATGTGCTGCATGTCTGCTTCTCTAGAAGTGGGACCATGACACAAGCGTCTTAGATAGTTTGGAAAAAGGAAGCAAGACTTTTTAAAATATTTTCACTCATGGAACTAGTTTCAAAAATGTTTGTATAATAGCAACCAAAACACCGGCTTTGTGCGGAAAATACAAAGGTTTGATGCAGCATGTTTGCAACTATGCCTGAGCCTACATTTAAATTTAAGCCCACAGACTGTTTGCTTGTTTATGGTCTTTACTGTTTTCACCGTCCATTGGAACATTAGTTATGTTTCAGTATGCAGTATATATGTTTATCAATCCCCCTTCACTATTATGCTCCCAAAACATCTTGGTGTGTTTTTCTGTTTTACCTGCTCAACAATGTACACTCATTTGCAACTTTATAAGGTACTTTTGTCTAACTGTGTGTTAACACAAATTTCTAATCAGCCATTCACATGGCAGCAACTCAGTGCATTTAGGCATGTAGCTGTGGTCATGATCTGCTGCATTTCAACCCAAGCATCAGTATACGGAAGAAAGGTGATTTAAGTAACTATGAACTTGGCATGGTTGTTATGGCCAGACGGGCAGGTTTGAGTTTTTCAGAAACTGTTGATCTACTGAGATTTTCACATGCAAGCTTCAATTCGATAGAGCGCTTTTGGGGTGTGGTGGAAAAGTAGATTCAAATTAGGGGAGTGCAGCCAGCAAATTTTCAGCATTTGAGTGCTTCTGCCATGTCAATATGGACCATACACTTCGATGAATACTTCCAATACCTTACTGAATCAGTGTCATGAACAAATAAGGCAGTAAAGTTGCCTCTGAGCCTTCGAACATGATTTATTTTTAATCAATCTAGGGGTCTTACATTCAGGGTCAAAATTCAAAAAAGGGTTTTTACATATTTGACTATTAAGAGATTGTCTTACAGTTTGCAAATCTTCTTAGGCATTTACTGTATTTAGCTTATTTTAATTGATTATTCAAAAGTTGATTTTTTTTAACAAAAGATTTGAAATGCAGAAATTACACAATACTTGTGTACCTTGATTTCAAATGTTCTGTCATCATTTTGCTCCAATAAAAATGAAAGTCTTCTTGTCTTAACCCCCTGTCTTGTTGGCTGAAATTATTCTTATCTTGCTCTCAGGGCCTGAACAATACCAGCGTAGAATGGGTCAAATGGCTTCTTCTCTACACTTACACCATTTGCTTTGCTCCTAAGTAGTGTTTGCTTTGCAGTATATTTACACATTGATCAAAAAATAAAAAGGAAAAAAAAATCTCACACATTGGTCTCTATAGGAAACATCCTACAATGGATACCAACTCAATGAAAGGATGGGTTGATCATTGACTGATGAGTCAAAGCTTGAACTCCATGATTAAATCTATGACTCTAAGAATATGAACCATAGTACTCACAGGGCATGAGATGATGTGATTGAAGCGCCACTGTTTGGCTAGAATTGTCCATTAATTTGTTGTGTACGATAATCTTTCACCATGGACTTCATTTCTTGGTCTGGCTTTAGATCAGTTAGTTTGAGAGGGATCGTAGGTTCAGCAAATGGATCCCATTGGCTCCTGTAAGAGAATATAGAGTCACAAAGAAAGTCAAATATCAATCTTACTTAAGCTGGACGTACACTGTGCAATTTTCGGGGCGATTTTCCAGTCGTGCGAGAATCTTAAGATCAGGCCAACTATAGCCTGATTGTGCGTCGTGAGTCGTGTATTGTACAGGGGGTTACAAGCAGCGATCAGCCTCTCACGACCACCTACCGATCAGGAATTATGAGGTCGGGAGAATATCAAACATGTTTGATTTTCTCCCGACCGTCGTGAGTAAATCGCTCAGTGCGCAAACAAGGATTCTTCTCTTTATTCTTCCTCTCAGTTGTAAACACAGCAGCATGGCAGGGATGCAATGAGTGAAATGCAGTTCTGACTGTAAAATTGAAAGACCATATTAGCCATGTTTGCTCAGCCATGTCTTTTTTTCAAATATGTTGTCGCCTTTTCTTTTTAGGACTTTCAGCACAAAATTGCACAAAGAGCAGTTCATTATAGTGAGCTTCATATTCCTCTTCTATTTGTTTGGCTTCAGGATAGAGAGCTACAGAGCAGCTCCATCTCACTGCGGAACTGAGTCCAACGTGGTTTTTAGTCGTGCAGTGTGATCGCATCAGAGCGTTGGGCCGAGCATAAATCGTTAGCTGTGAGCTTACAATGTACGACTAAACCCTGCATTTAGTCGTCTAGTGTGAGCAGCAGTTTTTTATGATCTACAAGCACAGGTCACCAATCAGCCACAACACCAGCTAAAAGGAGGATATATACATAATGAAACTCATCAAATATCCAACTTAAAGCTATACTCCCTAATAAACTTGCCATGCATATTTTTACACTCAGAAAATAATGAAGGACAGATTAGATTTAGCCCACCTTTCCAGCTTCTGCACCACTAGCCAAATGTTAGACACAACAGAGCTATTGAAGTATTATATATAGGTGTTATGGCTCTCCCCTTTTGGGACTATGAGTTTTTTGTTTTAAGTTTTTTACTAAGTACTTCTGTTTTGTTAAACTTTGGTTTATTTTTCCATTCTGTGTTATGTTTAAGCCAGTCTTTAGTTACTCTCTGTTGCCCCCTTGTGCCTGTCTCCTTTCCCCTAGCTCCCTTCTAGTCACTTATGTGGTGTAAACCAGTGTGTTAATGTTAAACCTGCCATGGCTTGTACCGATTTAGACCACTTGGGGAACCACGGGACTATATATGAATGAATACTGTTTGATGCTCATTAAAAGTTGTTGACCATACTCCAGTAGTAGTCAAGGGTTTTTTTTTTAACCACACAACTTCCATCCACACCTGCTCCATATAATCTAATTTCTCCAAGTCTTTGTTCTGTCTCCCATATATACTCTCCCTGTGCAGTTCTTCAGTGCTGGTTCCTTGTTGTTGTTTTGTTGCTTCCTCATCTCTGGTTCCCCACGTGAGATTTCCCTGACGTTTGCTGGTTTTTGGTTCTCAGTATTTTTGTGTTTTTAGATGCTTGCCTCAGTTTTCCTCCATTAAACCTGCAAGAACTCATCTCTGCCTCACTCATCTCTGTTTTCGGATCCTCAAGCAACCTCACCTCACAAGTTGACACAAGGAATGGACATAGTATTAAGTAAACTCTCAGAAAGTAAATCCAGTATAATAATCACTTGTTCAGGTTTTTTGATTCGAGGTTTTGTGAAAGGTTATGAAGTGACTTAAAGAGAGCATCTCTTTTCCTTAAGGACAAAGAAAATATTTGTTACATATATTTAGCTGTTATTTATATACTTCCAGAACAGGGGGGGGGGGGGGGGGGGGGGGTTGTTTGATAGGAGAGGAGGGACAATAATCAGGAAAAGAGTATAAAAGGCTACCCAAAATATAAAATTAGAAAAAAGTTTCTTCAACTCATATACTTCTATTGAAAAAGTATTGATTTTAATTGATGTTGGTGTTAAAGAATAAATATACAAAAGTAACAAATTTTTTTAAGCTATTATATTATTAGATCAAAGGTTAAAGTGTCAAAGATTTGACAGACAAGTAAAATGCCTGCTAAATGTAGTTCCACTCTCAACCAAGGGGTGCACAATAATACAAAATTTAATTTCAATGTTACTCTTTCAGATGATCTTCAATGGCCTTTCGTTCATAAACTGCTCTATACTTTGTTTTTACTGGATCATAAAATATCCTCTTGGTGAGTGGACAGATGAGATGTTGAGGTATAAACTGCTTCTCCTGCTCCTCCACTAGTTTCTTTTTAAAATATAAATAGTTGAAACATATGAGAATCAAATTTTTGGAGACAAAAAAAAGGCGTATAAAAAAAATGTTCATTCAAATACAAAGGATCACCCAAGCTATGTATATATATATATATATATATATATATATATATATATATATATATATATATATATATATATATATATATATATATATATATATTATATATTATTAAGGTACTTTTTAGGTTCTAAAGATAAGGTTGTTTTTTTTCTTTAGCAGCAAAAAGCATAGACTAAAAGAAGATTACCTTCTCCATAACCTCCAGTGGTTCTGCTGCAGTTTCCTGTGTTTGTTTTCTGGCTTCTTGTTCATAAAACTCTTTATTGCTCAGGTATTCCTCTGCCAGAATGCTTTAATAAAAAAATAAATAAAAAAAAACATAACATTTGCAAATATTTGTGGAAATTATATAGCATTGATTAATATTCAGGTTATATTGAATATCATGCTTAATTTAGACGAGGCAAAATTAAATTAATAAGTTGTTGTTTTGAAGATTGTTTGTGAACTGTGACTGCTATGTGCACTTTGGCAAAGTTTTTACACTGATTTGTGCATGCATAAAGTGTCTAGAGACAGGAACTGAAACTGTTGCTACGTTCTTTATTTTTTGGGGGGGACAAGCATTTAATCTATGCTATTTTATGCTTTATGCTATTTTAAACTTTTTGTTTATGCGATTATCTGATCAGATTTGTTTTTAATTAAATAAAAATCAACAAATTTAGTAATCGATAAATCATTAACTGATGTATAGAGACTCTTAAGCCCCAAACACTGACGTTCCAAACCTCGCCTGCGGCTTCTGTTCAGAACCATTCATAGTTGTGTGTAGCCTAAATAAACATCTTAAACTGCTCCTTGTTCTCCGTCTGTGTCTGCATGTGGGTAAAACACCTTAAAGCCATGACACTAGAATCTGCGGTTAAAATAAACAGCCAATGATTTAAAGAAATTAAAGCAACGGGCTTTGTTTAGTGTCTAATACAGCATACTGTTTTGATTCAATATATTTATGCATGCTTTTACTTATGCACTATCAGATACTTTTAACTATTCAATTCAATAATTAATCGCAAAAGGAAATTCAGGTATTTCTTTATGTTAAATGTATCTTATTTAGAAAAATAAATACTAGCTCCTGCTTCCATCTGCCCCTGTAAACTCTATGCCCACCTGTGCTGATCAGGTGAGTTTGGGATCCATTAGATCAGGTAATAGAGTACAAATATTTTTGAATTAGCGAAATTACTGTTAGGTTTCCAAAATGTATAAAAGCAAATATATGGGCAGATTCTATTATATAACTTTACAAGATGTTGCACATTCTTGATGACAGCTTTTGGTGCAAAACATGTCACAATTACTAGGTTTAGAGCATAATTGTTCTTCCCAGAAGACCAGGCTGGTTTCGGTAATAATTTTCCCCAAAAGAACGAACACATAACTGAAAAAGTAGGAGTGGATAGTGGACTGGTGTTGGAATTAAAGAGGTAAAAATACTGTAAAGTTATGTAAAGTGTGATGTTACCTGTCCAATGGGTCCTCTGGCTCAGGAGCAATCAGCAGGCCAAACACAGCTTCAAGAATTTCTCTCATTGTGATTTGAGCATTGTAGTTCCGATCAAATATGTTGTGACAGATCCGTCCCACATTATTAATGTTGCAGTGGTATATCTTTAATTATATTAAGGAAATAACTTCTTAATGTACATCTATGATGCAACTCAGGTAAACCTTTGGTAAAGTATCCTTGGATCATTGGGTGTTGGGCCATCCAGATAGGTTAGATCAAGCCCTGATTTGTGTCTAAGTAGCATGTATGATTAACCACTTTCTTAATGCCTCTTCATCAGCATCATTCAGTATTATCAGTTATGTTCATAGGGGCTTCTCTATAAGCCTCTCTAAAGAATTTCTCTCTTATAGTTATAAGGCCTTGATAAGTGAAAAGCCTACAAAGGCATCGTCTTTGTCCAGCAACAGTGTGATAGCACAATTCCTTCCCTGATTCGGCATTACCTTACAAGTTATGTCATTCAGTCTCCTACGTGAACAATCAATTTCAAAGGCACCCCTTACTTTGATGCTTCTCACAGGTTCTCTCAGGTGCAAACATGGTTACTACTGTATATCCTGGGTATCCTAGCTGCCTAACCATAGACTTTCACCTGCCGGTTGTGAACAGCCCCTCCAGTTTATACGGATGTTGCTGTAGCTTTTCTCTGACCTGGCAATGTCTCCTAGGGCTCTTGGACAACAGGTCAACATGTGCTCCAGTTATCTTTCTTACTGGTAGAGGGAGCACAGTAAAATGTCTACTAGGCCTCAAAAGAAGACACTGGATTGAGTTTAAAATATATCATAGACAAAATTTACCTCTAAACTTGATTTGATGTTCATTGGCAGTCGTGGGTGAGCGGTTAGGGTGTCAGACTTGGATCCCAAAGGTTACTGGTTCGGTTGGTGGGGGGAGTAATTAACCAGTGCTCTCCCCCATCCTCCTCCATGACTGAGGTACCCTGAGCATGGTACCGTCCTGCCACACTGCTCCCTTGGGGTGCCATTGAGGGCTGCCCCCTTGCACGGGTGAGGCATAAATGCAATTTCATGGTGTGCAGTGTTCACTTGTGTGTGCTGTGTCACAATGACAATGGGAGTTGGAGGAGTTTCCCAAAGGGCTTTCTTTTCACTTTCATGTGGTTCTGCCTATAGCAGGTGAGGAACTGTGCTAGCATTAAGTGTAATTGGTCATAAAAACCAAGCTTGGCACGGTTAACTGATCCAAGCTTGGTCCTAACTGGGCACTAACTAGTTCGGACACTACCCCTCTACTACGATTATTCTTGGAACAGCCTTCACCTTTTCTTTTCTATGGCCATGTTATAAGAAGGCTTGGATTGCTCCCACTGCCTGCCTGCCTTAATCCAGCCACCTGCACACTAACTGAGCTCCGTTCATAAAAAACATTTCATCCCAGCGCTCCATGTCCCCAGCCTGTAACATCTTCCATGACCCCTCACTCCCCCACCTTGTACTGTTCTCCCTGCTGCCCTGTGGGAAGAGGCTTTACAGCATTCAATGCAGGTCCAGCAGATTCCAAAACAGCTTCTTCCTCACTGCCATAAGACAGCTGAATGTTGAAAAAACATTTTTTTTTTTCCTCCCACAATGTTTACATTGATCACCGCTGCACTTTAGGAAATGGAAATGCCTGAGAGCTGTACAAAATTACATTTCATTCTGTATACACTCTGTGAATACAAAATAAATAAGTTTGTCTCAGTCTAAGTCACTGTGCACTCCTTACTCAGGTTGTTTGACTGCCTTTAGAGCTGTTCACTTCTTCCACTCTAGGCCGGCTTTAATACAAGGAATAGACATGTTACTTGACAGGATACATGGGTCACAAAGCGAACTGTTGGAGGCTTTACTGGGTAGTCAGGACCAAATTGGCAATACAGCTCAAATGTTCCCTTTTCAGGGGGACCCTCCATGAGAATCTTCCAGAAAGCTGTGGAACAGAATATAGCTGTTAAAGTATTAATGAACATTTTGTCCGTAATAATAATAATAATTTTCATCTCCAGAATATTGAAAAAAAATAATATCGAAATATATTGTCCAGGGTTGATGCTGAGAAACTAGTCCATGCATTTGTCACTTCGAGGTTGGATTATTGTAATTTTTCTTTCTATCAGAACACCCACAAAATGATCCTAAAAGCCTTCAGCTGATCTGAAATGCTGCAGACAGAGTTCTGATGAAAACCAAAAGAGAGATCATATTTCTCCTATCTTAGCTGCCCTTCATTGGCTTCCTGTTAAAACCAGGCTAGAATTAAAGAATTCCTTGTTCTCATGTATATACCCCTAAATAACCAAGCTCCATCTGATAATAGCCTTGTCAAACATTCCTTATGTTTCTAAGATTCAACTAAATTCAATTCAGTTTAGTTATACAGTGCCAATTAACAACATGTCATCTCAAGGTACTTTATAAAGATAATTCAACCAGATCATACAGTCAAATTGTTTAAAAGTTTTCTATCAAAGGAAAACCAGTTGATTGCATCGACTCATTGACTCAAAGGCAATCCCTCACAATACAATGTACTCACAGTTAGATATATTTACATCCATAATGCATATCTAAATAAAAAAAGAACATAAAAATATTAGAAAAAAGTTTGACCTACTGAAGTCAGATTCTGATGGAAAGATATTAATGTAGGGATGTGGTTCACAATGAAGACCCTTAAGTTCCTCCAGAATACGTCTATCTTTCTCCATAAAACGCCCACGTTTGGCTTCCAGAATCTTCTTTTGGAGAGCACTAAGACAAAAAGGGGTTAAGCAAATAGTTAAGTAACAATTAATTTCTAGATTAAAAAAACATTATTCTGTTTTGCTTTAAAATCTAGTATTAGGCTACTCTTTGTATAAAAAATGCAAAAGAACAGTTGACACCAGATACCTTTTCACAGTTCCCTATGCAAATGCTTGCCTAGTCTTTATTAAAAGATTTCCTCTTAACAAGTGTGAGGAAAACTGGTTGCAATTAGGTAAAGAACTGTTAAGACATGATTTGATGCTAATGAAAATTCTGTCATCCAGGTCATAGTCAATTTTATATGTATGTACTATAGTGCCATAAGAGGTACATCACTGTCTTACAAGATAATTAACAGGAGTCACACCCATAAGTAGTCAGGTTAACTAGTCAGGTTAAATTTTACCAGTAAGCAGCCTCCCAACTGAGTTTTTAATAAACCCCACCCCTATTTGAACAGTCACCAACTCCCTAAATCCACGATATTCCCAGGCCAGAAGGACCGGCTTACCCTCCCATCCCCGTCAGCAGCCCACATGTATCAGTAACATAAAGCCCTCTGTCAGAAACCTAAGTATGTTGAGAATTCTTGCAATCTATTTACAAAAAGGAAATTCTCTGGCTCCTACAATGTTATTTTAGGGCAGAGAGGGCTTAGTTCTTAGTGGAAAATGAATTAGGACCATAAATGAAAGTTCTTCATGATGAATTGTTTTAATCTCACTCCCATCTGAGGCCACAGATGGCTACCACAGAAGTGAAGAGTATCCAAAAATGTGCATGTTCATGTGGTACTAGGTAATTACTTGCTCGGGTCAGAACAACCAGGCTGCTGGTCCATGGGTCGATAATGGGGTGAGCCCACTTACAAGCATGCTGGTTCTAAAGACACTGATTTCATGTGTCTTGTGTGTTCTTTTCAGGCACCAACCCCAATGGTTCTGTACCCTGTGCAGTGTTGGGCACGTTACTTTGAAAAAGTAATTAGTTATAGTTACTAGTTACTTCTCCCAAAAAGTAACTGAGTTACTAACTGAGTTACTCCACAATAAAAGTAACTAGTTACTAGTAAAAGTAACTATTGAGTTACTTTTGCGTTTCTCGCCCCCGTAACCCTCACCACCCAGCCCCCACCTTCTGGCCGTGTGTTTCTAAAGCCAGCTGAATAGAGCGGACGACAAAGACAAGAACCTGCAGAGAGTTTAGCATTTATTGCAACTCAACATAAATGACATCGGGGGGAACGCGATGTGAAGTTTTTTAACAGGGCGTTCAGATCTGGTGAGTGTATGAAATCAATAACTGGGGATGTCTAATTCTGAAATTCTGTGTGTTTGGGTTGTTATAGATACTGCAACATCTATCTATCCATCTATCTATCTAGATCTATACTCTGTGTGACATAAAATATGGATCTCCATCCCTGCCACAAAGGCCATCAAATAATGTCTAAAATAAAAAATACAGTAGGTTGAAAAGGCAGAGTATCCATCCATCCATCCATCCATCCATCCATCCATCCATCCATCCATCCATCCATCCATCCATCCATCCATCCATCCATCCATCCATCCATCCATCCATCAAATTTTCTCCCTTTCTCCATATAGGCTATCATTTGATCGTTCCCGCTCTCCATAGTTCTCCTGTGGCGCGAGCACTGGGTGACTGTTGCGCGCCTTTAGCGAGCATGCGTGTTTCCTGTCACTTGCGCGGTGAATCGTGCCGCCTGCGCTGTGCGGAGATGCAGGGGAAACCGTATCTGACGAGGAAACGCAGCTCGACGTAACACCGGTATTTCAATCTGGAAAGCGCTGTTTTGCCGCTGGAGTCCTCCTCACTCTCCATCCTCCCCTCTCTCATGACGCGTGCATGAGTCCTATCATGAAAAAAGGGTAATTGTGCGACCTGTAACGCGCAGTAACGCTGTTTTGCTGCTGAAGTCATCCTCACTCTCCATCTCTCTGTGTGTGCTGTACGTTAAGACCAACCAGCAGAAACACCCACCTACCCAACTGACAGACGGAATCTCACTATACATCAGCCATTCTCATCCTCCCCGCTCTCATGACAAGGTGCGCACCTCTGGATGACCTAAAAAAATTATCTTTAATATCTCTTAAACAAAAGTAGCACAAACAATATTTTTTCTGCACAAATCTGCACTAACGTTGCACTAACCATTCAGTCTATTTGCAGAGTTTTTTTATGTGGGTGGGGTGTCAGCTTCACGCAGCTGTGCACGAGTCCTATCATGAAAAAAGGTTAATTGTGCGACCTGAGTAACGCGCAGTAACGGGGTGTCTGCAATGGTAACTGCGTTATAGTTACAGTCAAAGTAATTAGTTAGATTACTCGTTACTAAAACAAGGTAACTGCGTTAGTAACGCCGTTACTTTCAACGCCGTTAGTCCCTGTTCAACGCCGTTAGTCCCATCACTGACCCTGTGCAGCTAGATCAAATCTCTTCCAAGGAAAGGTAAGATAGATACATGTTGATCAAAAACTGGGGTTTTATCCACCAAGTGTTTGGGATAAGGATAATGTCTGGCTATACTTAGCTGGGTTATTTCACACTTGTCTTAATCCAACATGTTGCATTCATTCAAAGTAGGTAAGACAATCTATGTGTTGCTGCCCAGCACTTCTATAAAAACATTATTGGCATGTCTACCTTTAGTCTAGAAATCCCAAGCGTGTCTCTAAAGTGTACTTTGATCCTTCTCTTTTAACAATGAAATGCTTAACAATAAAGTTCTCCCCGGTGACCTGTTACTATGTTAAATAAGAACAGCATAGATCTTCATAGCTTTGTCTCTTTGTCCTGCTGGATATATAATCGCATGACAAACATCGAAGCATTACTTTAAGTGTTAAGTTTGCCACAAAACTTTTTGCATTTAGGATTCACTGATGGAGCAGTCTCCACTTCCCGTAGTTGGCCACTGCCATAGTCTATACAATCCTGTTTAGAACACCAGCTTTTAAAGAGGCTGGTAATGCACAATTGAGAGGTGTTTGACACTAAAAAACTGAGTATGGTTGATATGCAATCCAGTGTCAACCTTGTATTACAATAGAATGGTAACTATTTTTTTTTACGGTCTGCTGGAGTCTCTGAATTATATTATTAACTTCGCAGGTGGTCTTGAGACTGAATTCAATTCTAGTCAAATTCAAAAATACTTCATTAATCCCAAAGGGAAATTTTTATTCATAGTTTTTTTTTTTTTTATCCAGTTGTTGTAGGTGTTGATAACATAGACCTACATTTTACAATGGGAGCCATATTTGCGAGCAGTATGGATACACACCGTTGCACATAAGCCCTCTTCCATGAAGCAGTAGAGAAAAAACAGATCACCTGTTATCGGACAGCATAATGATTGTCAGTGCTTGACATCTAACAAATCAGATGGAGGTGTGCATCCAGGCAGGCTCTCTCTTGCAGAACCACAGAAGATAAGATATCAACATGTCTTCCAAGCGACATCATGAATATGATGGGTGCAAGAGAAAAAGGGCAGGAAACACATCCTTCCCTTGAAGGTGGGTATGCTGTTGAAATAAAACTGTCTAACCTGTTGCTGCTCATTAGAAAGGAATCTCCATTTCCAGTCTCTGTAAGGATTATTTTTATGGTTCATGTATGTGCTTGTGAAATGCTAAGGGGCTGGTTATACTCCCGTAGCAGTGTGTCGCAGTGAGCTTGTCGCAGGTACGACACAGACATTTTTGATTTATACTCAATATGGAAGCGTGGTCTGCGTTATTTTATTTAATGCCACAACGCAAAAGGGGAAAATCACGAACTAGCTGTGGGTCTAGATACGGCTGAGGCGGTGAGGAAATGGGGGCCAGTTTGTCTGACAACGGAGGGATATGAGGGCGAAAAAGAGCGGGGATCCAGCGTTCTCGCACACCAATTCAAGAACGCTGAGATTGGACCAATCAGAGGCCTCCTGTCTGCGGTCACCTACAATTTGGGAGAGGTGCAGCAGAGTGTCTGCGGAGGGGGTATATCTGTGTTCATTGCGACACACATGCAGACGACCTAGTTTCGAAGTATAAATCAGCCTTAATACTACTTGCCTGTTATATGTTAAGGCTAAGGTAAATGAAAATAATGTGCATATGGGAAACTAAAACAGACTTAATTTTTTTTATTAAATCTAATTTGCAGTTAAAAGTAACTGTAAAAATTTTACCTTCTCAGAGGAAGTTGTTATGATTATGTTTATGGTTCACTGATGTGCTTGTTAAACCCTAATACTGCTTGCCTGTTACTTGTTAAGACTAACGTTTTCCTGAGCATTTTATCTAATTAGGACAGTTCCTTTGTTCTGTTCTTCATTATGCACATAAAGATTTGGGAATGGAATGAGTGCACAGACAAAGTGTATAATTCTTAACAGTGAGCTCTCTGTGCATTTGGGCCTTTATATGATATACTCTGTAATATTTTGATAAGGCTGGGGCCAGTGATGCCTCAGTTTACAAATGTGTATTATGTAATGATGTGGTAGGCTGTGTGAATAAAATGCTTTTTAACTGGTATTCAGGGCTGCTGCTGACTCTTTGATGAAGTGAGCCCGATGGTACCGTCGTAGCTATGTGATACTGATTGTCACGTTTTCTATTCATTTAAAACAAACATTATAAAGGGATATTTAAAGTGTTTCCATCTTTAAGTCTTCTCTCCTCAATTCTTTCAAGAGTCACTGCAGGACATTAAAATGCTCATCTTGCCATTTTAATGTTATACGTGAGCACTGCAAGAAAGGTAAAGTAGGTAGAAGAAGGAAGGTAGAAGTAGGAGGTAAAACCGAGGAAAAAAAGGCATTTGTCTGGACAGAGGACAGAGGAGTAATAAGTAGTATTAATTGTAAAATTCATGATAAAGTAGAACGCTAATTAACATAGATTTTAAAACAGAGTCGCAACACCCAAGTCTGCCAATGTTCTTTTATGTTAGAGTGGTTTGGACTGCGTTCGCTTGAAGGTGCAGATGCACCAGTTTCTTAGCTGGTTATGCATATAGCCTTTTTAAGACTGAGACATTGCA